GAGTAGTTCAGAGCTTTCTAGGCAGTCAGTGAGAGTTCAATCCCTGGTTCTGAAAAAAAAAAAAAAAAAAAAAAAAAAATTAGGTGGGGAGACATAAGGTGACATGGTCTGACTACTTCACAGGCTAGCTTTGAATTCACTATGTAGCCTAGGCTGGCTTCAAACTTGCAGCAATCCTCCTTCCTGCTGCATCACTATATCGGGGCACCACCCCCCTTTGAAAAACCACTGCCTGTTTTCTCCAGATGACTTCTGGCCCTATGTTTCGGGGCCGGGGAGATGGCTCAGTAGAATAAGCACTTCCCTGGCAAGCGCAAAGGCCTGAGTTCAATCCCCGGTTCTGAAAACAAAAACAAAAACAAAAACAAAAACAAAAAAACTTATGCTTCAACACCCAGAAGGTACTCAATTAGAGGTAGACAGATGCTATGAGGGGCTGAAGGGTTACAATGGAATCATTTATCATTTGATCCTGGCTTCAACTAATTCAAATCCAGTTAGACATGTTCCTTTCTTTTTTTCTTTTTTTGGCAGCGAGGGGGGCAATCGAACACTGGGTCTCATGCTTGCAAGGCAGATGTTGTGCCACTGAGCTAAATCCCTAGCCCCTAGATGCATTCTGTATTTCCATTCTTACACACCACAGTTTAGCTACATACATACATACATACATACATACATACATGCAGTCTGCTACAGTTTAAACTCCAGACATTACACCAGCCATCCTGCCTCAGAATTAAGAAAACAAAGGACATTTAAATTCCAACAATAAACACAGCCGCCTGAGAAACCAACAAACTATTTTCAAATATTCTTTGTGGAAAAATGTCATAATGTTTGCAGCATTTAAAAATTCTTGTAACTATTTTCACATGTCAGCCAGATGACATAGTCTTTCTTATGCCAAGAACTTAATTGATCTTTAAAAAAATAACAACAAGGGGCTGGGGAGATAGCCTGGTGGTCTAACTCCGCCCTGGTAAGTACAAGGACCCGGGTTCGATCCCTAGTACTACATGTTGCACTGGCGTGGAAGCCAGGCACGCCATATCGACCACCAAAACCAGGCATGGTGGCGCACACCTATAATCCCAGCACTGGGGAGGCTGAGACAGGCATATCACTATGAGTCCGAGCTTCATAGTAAGACCCTGTACCAAATAACTAAATAAATACCCAACAACAATAAAATCACTCTCCAGATTAACACAGAAAGTTAAAAATCAATATAAGTTCCAGGTACTAGAAAGAAAAAGGTTAACAAGGCAAAGAATATACACCATGAACAATTTTATACAAAAAAATAAGTGAAATTATTTTCACAACTCCTATACAAATACAAGAACAAATAAATCCCAAATCACTTCTTAAAGGGTGCTGGGGAGATGGCTCAGTAGAATAAGTGCTTCCCTGGCAAGTGCAAGGGCCTGAGTTCAATCCCTGGTTCTGCCAAAAAAACAAAACAAAACAAATAGGCTTACATTTTACTAGTTTTAACTTTTCAAATTATAGATAGATAGATAGATAGATAGATAGATAGATAGATAGACAGAGAGACAGACAGAGATACAGCTTTATCAGGTTTGCACAGTAATCCTCAATTGAGACAAAAGGAAACTGGAATTCTGGAATAACAAGTATATCCACCAAGGCCAGATCACTTATTTTTCAAAATACTACTACTATTATTATTACTACTACTACTAATAATAATAATAATGAATGAACTATCCTAGTGGTAGGAGCATTTTCCAAGACAAATCACAAGTCTTGATTTTTAAAAAATGCTAGCACTCCTAATTGTGACAGATACGGAGAAGGACTTACAGCTATTTACAAATATTGTATGAGTACATCAACTGGCAAGCTGCTAGTGTCCAAACTGTGGTGTGAAACGTGCACCCGAGATCCCACCACTGGTTACTGGTGGAAGAGGGCCTCCTGCCCAGGCTGGATCTATGGACAAGAAACCGTACTCTCTGAAAACAAGGACTGACACGGGAAGGGAGACAAAACACCAGTGAGCCAACTCAATCTATAGCTAAGGATCGTAAGCAGGCAGAGGACAAAGGTCAGTCCGCCCCACCAGGGTTGAGAAAGGAAGCAACCTGACCACCCCTGCTAAGGGCAGGCTGGCTGCCTGCCTTTTCACAAACACCCAGAGAGGAGTGCACCTGCGGACGAGGTTCCTATGTGCATACAAGGTAAACCATGTGCGAAAGGCTATTAAAACTGCTTAAAGGGCCAGCCAAATAGCTCAGCAGATTAAAGTGACCGATCCCGATCCTGCCCTGCCAGCCCTGACCCCAGGCATGCTGAGACAGCAACTGAGACTGGGTGTGTTAATCCCAGCTCTTGGAAGGCTGAAAACAGGCAGATCACTACAAGTCTGATCTAGTAGTGAGACCCTGAACACCCTGTAGACCCCTCCCTAAAATATTAAAAAAAAAAAAAAAAAAAAAAAACTGCTTAAACTTTTTTTTTAAATGGTAAATTTTGATGAGGGAACCTACCTAGTACCACAAATAGCTCCATCAAAATGATCTACTGAATACTACAGGACAGAGATTTGCAAGCTATATATACCAACACTTTGCTTGTGTCATGCATTTTATTTTATTTTATTTTATTTTTTTATTTTTGTATGTATGTATTTATTCATTGCAGTGCTAGGGATTAAATTTAATGCCTCATGCAGAGGCTGAGGCAGGATTGCCACGAGTTCCAGGCCCAACTGGACTACACAGTGATGACCTGTCTCAAGAAACAAAAAAAAAATAAATTCCCAGCCCTAGAAAGGCCGAGCTTCATTGTGAGGTCTACCTTTGGCTGAGTAGCCTTCTCCAGTT